TCCAAATGAGCTTCTTTTGTTTTGAGTTTTATGACATTTAGCTAACCACTTCCGCTTGAAATGATTGTTTCTTTTTTTTGTGAAATCAACAATCTCTTTGATCTTCTTTTTCGTCATCTCCGATCTTTAAGGCTAATTTAAAATGCATTAAAAAAATAAAATAAAATGAAATAATTTCTTTTTAAATAAATAATGGTAACGTTTCCTCACTCCCACTCTCTTATTTCCAACTCCATCTTTTTTCGGTGGATGTAAAATACCATTAAAAACGAAATATTCAACAAAATTACTGACCATTTGTTAGACGAGAGAAAAAAAAGGGTTAGAAAAACAAAACAGTTTCGTATGTTTTCCCCGCCATGGACTTGATATAGGAACAAACATTTTTTTTTTTTTTGGAACCGGTTGTCACATTGTTGCAGTGTAAACGACAGACAACAAGATTGTCATGAACACAATAACAAATTTAAAAAATTGGTTTCGCTCAACCCCCACCTCTCTTTGTCGCCTCGTCTCTCTTCCAAGTGAGTTGATTTGTCTATAAAAGCCGGTAAGCGCCGCCGAAACAACAACAACAACAAGACCATTACGACGAAAACATGAAAATTAAGTTGGCAGTAAACCGTATAGCCTATCGTTCCACCGTCCAATTGATTCCAAAGTGGTTTGTTGTCTGCCAGTTTTGGGTGGTGGGGAATGGTTGGTAGTGGTGGTGATGGTCGTATAAATTGCTTTTTTCAGTTCTCTACGGCTGTTGGGAATAATGCAAAGCCAACTTTCAACTGCATTTTTAACTGGGTGGGTAGGTAGGTAGGTAGTTGTAGCTCATTGACTGACTGGCTGGCTCGATGGCTGCCTGGCGGGTAAATGATTGCCTCCTGCCTCGTTAGTTAGTTGCTTACCTTCCCTCTTGACTAGACTGACGAAACGAAAACAAACCAAACTAAACTTCATCCAAATCGAAAGTTATTGACCGGAACTAATAACTTTTTATGATCTTGTTTTATTTCTATTTTTGAGACTCTGTCTTTCTCCTCAATTACCAAAAACAAAATACACTAAATGCCTGTTTCGACTGTCTTGTTATTCCGCCTTCGAAACCGGGATGGTGGGAAATCAGGCAATTTGAAGGAAATTGTAACAATTTTTTTAAATAATAATATGAAATGAATTCAATTAAAGACAAAGAAATGGAACAGGAAGTAAAATGGGTATATTATCTGGAAACGTTTTATCGGCTTAAGTTAATAAATAATTGATAGTTTTTAAAAATATGGGAGGGGGTTATAACTTGGTGATCTTCTTTGAGACCTGGATGATTTTTAAAGATTCTGTGTTTTTTAAAGTAGTTGTGGTTTACCCATAAAGAGCCGCTGCCTCTCTGCTGAAGACTTTCAGGTCTTTTGTGAGGGCTTGAATGTTCTCTTGCGAAGACCTGCACATATTTTTTAAAACCTTTTTTTACGAAGAGCTGGTGTTTAGCCTATAGTGACCCTTTTGTGTTTCTATGAAGAAGTGGTCGTCTTTCTATGAAGATTCTTTAAATATCTGTTGGGTTTTTCATGAAGACCTTCCTATAAAGACCAGATGATCTTGGTATGAAAAACTTGCTGTATTCTTGTGAACCCCAGTAGGTCGTATAGTGACCCCTTTGTGTTTCTATGAAGATCAGATGATCTTGCTATGAAGAACTTGCTGTCTTCCTGTGAACCCCAGTAGGTCCTTCAACTCAGAACTTTTCTCGTTTTTATGTGGACCGAGAGGCTTTCCTATGAAGACCTTTATCTTCCTAAGTTAATAAATATTGATAACTTTTTTAAAACATGGGTGGAGGTTATAACTTGGTGATCTTCTTTGAGATCTGGATGATTTTTGAAGATTTTATTTTTTTTAAAGTAGTTGTGGTTTCCCCATAAGGAACCGCTGCCTCTCTGCTGAAGACTTCTAAGTTTTTTGTGAGGGTTTGAACGTTCCCTTGGAAAGACCTGCAAATATTTTTAAAGCCTTTTTTACGAAGAGCTGGTATTTAGCCTATGGTGACCCTTTTGTGCTTCTATGAAGAACTGGTCGTCTTTATATGAAGATTCCAATGGTTTTCCCATGAAGACCAGATGACATTACTATGAAAAAATTGCTGTCTTCTTGTGAAGCCCAGTAGGTCTTACAACTCAGAACTTTTCTTCTTTTTATGAGGGCCTATGAAGAACCCCGATTTACGACCTTAGATGATTTTGTGGTTTTTCCTAAAATGCAGAAGAAACTTTTAGAAAGACTTTTCGCTTTTAACAAATCTACATGTCCCATATCGAGCTGTTGGTCTTTCCATGAAGACTTAGTGGTCTATATTTGAAGACCCAGTGATCTATATATGAAGAACTGACGGTCTTCTTGTGAATTCCTAGTGGTCTTTAAATATGGCCGGTAATGTCTCAATAAATACTCGGGGTTGTCGTTTGAAGATCTTGTTTAGAAATCTGGTGCTCATTCTTATCAGAACGTGGTTGTTTTCTCATAAAGACAATTGCCTTTTTACGAGGATCTGGTAGGTTTCCTTTGAGAAACTAGTTATCTTCTTTTAAAAATCACTAAATATGCCTGTGAATATCAGGTGATGACATGACGAGCTTTCTATGAGGATCTGGTAGTCTTTTTGAAGATTTCCAAATTCTAGGATTAGCAATCAATGGAGACCCATATGTAGTCCCGGATATCTTCTTACAAAGTCTAAGACTTCTTTGTATGGAGACTTGGTATTCTTCGGAGACCCATATAAATCTCGGATATCTTCTTACGAAGGCTAAAAGTGAGAATACACGGCTTCTTCGGAAAAGAACAAAGGTCAATCAGAAACTACTTTGTTCCTCTACAAAGAAGCCAGCTTATGACTTAAGCCAGTCAAAAAAAGCTTTTTATGTACTCTCACCTTAAGATTTCTTTGTTTTGAGGCCTGGTCTTTTTCGGCTGACGTGCTGATAAACTTTCTATAATTAACAATAAGTTGATGCGGAAAGTTCTGATAATTTCTCCGTAAAACTCCGGCGATCTTCTTCTGTAGGCCAGGATATTTTATCTCGAAGTTCAATATTTTTCGATATTCCCTCAGTCGAGTAGATGGGTCTCTCTTGGCGTCCACTTTGGAGTAGATGTCCGCAGTTTTTATATTCTCTTTAGTAGATGTCTCTCTTAGCATCTACTCTGGCGTAGACTGCCTAATTCAGCATCTACTCTAGAGGAGATGACCTTAACTGACATCTACTGTGGAGTAGATGACCTTAGCTGACATCTACTCTGGAGTAGAAGTCCTCTCCTGCCAATTGTCTTTTTTGCAACTTCCTAGGAATAGATGAGCCATACTCTAGAATAGATGGCCTCAGTTGAGTAGATAGTCTCTCTTGCCGTCCACTTTGGAGTAGATGTCCTGAGTTTTTATCTTCTCCTAAGTAGATGACTCTCTTAGCATCTACTCTGGCGTATATTGCTAAATTCTTTTGGGGTAGGAACCATCAGTTGGCACCTTATGTGGAGTATATAACCTCAGTTGGCATCTACACTGATGACATCAGTTAAAATTTACTCTGGAATAGATGACTTCTGCTGCCATCTACTCTGGAGTATATGATCCCTATTGACATCTACTATGGAGTAGATGACCTCTGTTGGCATCTACTTTGGAGTATATGACCTCAGTTGACATCTACTCTAGGGTAGATGACCTCAGTGCTCAAAGAGTTGCTTAGCTTGGCCGAAAGAGGTGAACTGCCGAATTTGGTTTTCTCCGATGAGAAAACATTCGTTGTCCAGCAGTTTGTAAACAAACAAAATTATCGTGTTTACTTGCCAAAGAGGTCAGCTGAAGGTGTGCGAATTCGGTTGGCCACCAGATCTCCGGATACCAATCCATTGGACTATTGTATCTGGAGGATTTTGGAAAGCAATGTTGGGACTAAAAAATACCAAAGTGTCGATCACCTCAAGCAAGCGCTTCGCCGGGAATGGGCCAAAATGCCGCAGAGCAACATTCGGGCAGCGTGTGACGGTTTTATTGACCTTTAAAGGCCATAATTCGTGCCAAAGGTGACCAATTCGAACAAATCTAAACTTAGTCTAAAATTGTATGCTATTTCCGACATTTCTTTGCTTTCATGCAATAAAATTAAAAAAAAATTGTAAAAATTATGGCGTTTGACTTTGTTGCAGTTTTTTATCTCACCCTATACTCTGGAGTAGATGATTTCTCTTGGAATCTACCCTAGAGTTGATGTTTATCTTTTTTTCAGTAGATGTCTCTCGTAGCATCTACTATGGAATAGATGATTCCAGTTGGAATCAACTTCAAAGGAGACAACCTTTAATGTAAGGCCTAGGCCTAGGCCTTCAATTCTGGAGTATAGGACCCGAGTTGTCTTCAGTTCTGGAGTAGTTGATGACCTGTTTTCCTCAGTTAAAATCTACTTGCAGTGAAGGGACGCAGTTGATCCCAGTTTTCAACTATTCTGATGTCGATGACCTCAGTACCCATCTACGCGGGGGTAAATGGCCCTCAATTAAAATCTGATATGCGATTTCTGTTTAAATGTTGCTATTGCGTCACATATGAAAAATTTCAAGGGAAATTACTATTTTTTCTGTTAACGGTATTTAATGTTATTTTGGCGTAGATAGGTACATGGGTAGGTGTTACAATAAAGTTCATTGTTTTAACTCAACCACCAAACCACTGAAATTTTATGGTTGTTTGCAAAAATATTTTATAGTTTTTTTTTTTTTTTTTGTTATTGTGTGTAGGTGAAGCGAGCCTTAAACCCGTTTTCAAAATTTAGACTATAAATTTAAATTCCGTTTTTTTTTTTTAATTTTTTTTTTTAATTTTATGATTTGAGAAAAAATAAAAATCAAAATGGAACCAAACAAATTTAGGAAAATTTTTTATTAAAATTATTTTCTCTTTCAATATTTTGGTCAATTACTAATTTTTTGTCTCTCTTGCTTTCTCTTTCCAGATATTAAAATGCATCACTAGCCCTAGCTAAGACTTTCAAACTCCGGACTTTATTTTGGACCAGACGGACTTACCACGACCGACATTACTTATAAAAAACATAAACCAAAAAGCGCATCGTAAGAGAATTGCAGCCACAAAAAATCTTCTATGATTTTTTCAAAGCAGTAAACCAAACTCTCGCTCTCTCTCTCTCTCATTCCTAAAATAAAATCTCACTACACTTTAAGTCTGCCAGCCAAAAAAACAGGAAATCTCTACTCAACCATGGCCGACAAATTACGCTCTTCAAACATGTCCTCGTCCATGGGCGCTGCTGGCGGTGGTTTGTCCACCTTAATTGGTAACCCCACATTAATCTCGAGCACTCTGAGCACAAATCATCAGCTGACACCCACAGTGGATTTAATGACGGCCTCGGTACGTGAATCCTCGTCGCCAACGGCTCTAAATTCGAGCAACAACAACAGTGACATGGAATCCTCCAGTGAATTTGCTCCAGGCACAATAACGGCTCAATTAAATTTCCAATTGCTGCCAACGACATTGGATGGCAGCAGTGGTGCAGGTGGTGGTGGTGGCGGTGCAACGGCCATCTTTGATTATAATTCAATTATGAACTCATCACAAATATCTGCCATGTCACATGATTCTCTGCAACAGCAGCAACAACAACAGTCATCACAACAAATTTCAAATGCAGCCGCTGGGAATACAACAACAAGTGCCAATAACAGCATGGCTTTGGTCAAGGCTGGAGCTGGCAAACCGGTAGTGGCTCAAAGTGTTGCCGGGGTAAGTTAAAAGAAATAAATGTTATTATTTAATACCTCGCAAAAAAATGCTGCTATAATTTTGTAACAAGTTGCCATAAAATATTATATGCCCGATTCCTTTGGCAAATAGGATAATGAATTTAAAATCTTTAATGGAAAATAAAAATATTTTCAATTGCTAGACACTTCTAGCTGTCATTGGCAAAATTTTGTGAAAGAAACTGCTCTCATTTAGGGGGGAAAGTATATTTTATGGATTTTTATGTCTACAAATCGGTTATCCTAAATTGCTATAAATTTTATAGCTTGCTCTCAAAACTATCTTAATATCAATTTGTAGATAGTTTGTAACATCTTTAGCTATAGAGAACCATTGGATATTTAAGTTTATTGCATGACATTCTTATAAACTTAGAGAACAACATTGTTTGTACTTTGCTTTAGTTTTATGGACCTGCACGACACAATGAGAATATATTCTGATAATCACATTGTATCCAATACGGACATATCTGGGTCATAAGAAGCTTGATTTGTAGAGGCATTCAATGTTCTTTGGTTGCAATGAAAAGGGAAGAGCTGGGTCTTCAATAATGACCGTGAAGATAAATTGAAAAATATATCTAGCAAATACAAGAACCATCAGCACTTGGGCAATGACATCGAAGTGTAAAAATAGGACAAGACAGAGTTAAAATATGGCAACACTCTGTTGAATGTCTATGGAATAGAATTTTGAAACCATATTTTTGGATTCTTGTAACTTTTATTCGTCATTTGTTTCTGTAATTGTGGTTTTTATATTAACATGGTCCCCTCATGAACTGTTACTCTATATATTGTAGACACAAACCATTTGTAGAAAATGCATTTTGTCTCATCTTTACCATTTTAAGTCTTTGACTGGGGTTAACGGAGTGACAGATCGCAGACCCTGGGAGTAATTTTCAATTATATGGAACTTATATGCAATAGATTTTTGGGCCTGGAGATTTTTGAAATTTTCCGAAAAAGTATTGTTTAACCTTAGGGAAATTTCAAATAAAAGGATCCACAATGTAAAAATTGGAAAAGAAGGGCGGTTGATGTCGGTGTATACCATTGGACTGCTGCTTTCTAGATCATGCTGATCCTTCCTATAGTCCTGGACGAGGAGTTTCATATCATCATTTGGATTCGGACTCTCACGAGTCTGTTCTGTAGTTTGCTGATGTTCGAAAAGAGTTGTTGTACTCTCAGGGTGACCGTCAACTGTATCGATATCGTATATATATCAACGATATCGAAATGCATCGTAGGTCGGTGTTCATACAATTGTTAATAACAGGACCCAATGTCATGATCGTTTAATCATATTCATAACCTTATTTAAACTGTCAGAAGGGTGTGGGATTCTAGAAAGATTTTTGAGATATCTACCGGCCTCGAGCAGTATCCTGTTAATCTCGTCTGCTACTACAAACTGGTGGTCTTTTTATGATGACCCTATGACTTTCCTATGAAAACATTCCTGCACTTTATTGGCGATTTAGTGGTATTCCTATAAAGAAATGATGATAATCCTATGAAGAGCTGGAAGTCTTCCCATGCAGAGCATTCTAATCTTCCTATGAAAATCTGGTAGTGTTCTGCTGAATATCCGACATTCTTCCTGAAGATTTGGTAGTTTTTTTTTTTTAATTAATTGGGCTCCCTATGATAACCTGGTGGTCTCCCTATGATGCCTTTTTACGATAATCTTTCTAACCTTAAGGGTAATCATTTAAATACCTTTTAGCCTTCTACTGTCTTCTTGTGAAAATTCCTTATGGTAACCTTCATAGGAAGACCAGTTTGTTATCCTATGAAAACCTGGAGGTAGCCTTTTGCTGAAGATTTGGTGGACTTCCGCTCAAGACCTTGTGGGCTTCCTATGAGAATTATGTGTTTGCTTTTTTACTGATAATGTTAAGCACGTCTCCAATCCAAGTAAAAACCTCCATCTATAAATAATTTTTTCGACGAAAGTGTCCAAGAAAGAATTATTCTAGAATTATTTTGAATCAAAGCCCCAAAGGAGTTTTGGTTTCTTAGGTCAAATATTGTTAAGATCTTTGTATAGTTTTGACCATATGTTTATGAAAACGTGAGGAAGACCAGCTGTTCTTTAAGCGGTTATTTTATGACGACCTCATAGTATCTTTGTATGGATGCCTAGATGTCTTCGTAGGAAGTGCTGCAGGTCATGCTATGAAGATAACTTGAAGTATTCTCTGAAGATCCTCTACTTTCCCTCTAAATGTCTGATGGTTATCCCATAAAGACCTTGAAGTCATATATTTAAGTCTATGTAATCTCCCTAAAGAACTTGGTGAAATTTCTATTTCTACTGATCTTTCGTTGAAGACCAGATTTAATTCCTTTGAAGAACTGGTATTCTTTCATTATCAGGTCAATTGTTTTTTTTTTTTTTTTTTTTTTTTCAAATACATTGTAGTCTTTCTACGAAGATCTAGAGATATAACTAAGATGACGGCTCTTCTGGAGAAGGTCTGCACAGAATATCTATTGAATTTCTTCTAAAAAAAAAGTAGGTGTCGTCTTGTGAAGTTCTAGGGAAATCTACGAAGAACTAAGATGATAACTCTTCTAGAGAAAATCTACATAGAATATCTTTCGATCTTCTGTTGAAAGTTCTACGTATCTTTTGGAGAAAATGTAAAGGTTTTCTAGAGAAGATATAGAGAGATTCTAGAGAAAAATCTGGTGATCGTCGAAAAAAAGATCAAAGTATTTTCTGGAGAAGAGCTATAGATCTTACAGAAAAGATCTAGGAATCTTCTTGAGACGTTCTAAGTGTCTTATGGAGATGATCTAAAAATCATCCGGGGAAGATATTGGGGTCTTCTAAATTAGATTTATTGATCTTCAGTAACAATGTCTCTATATATCTTCTGCGAGGAGGTATAGTAAATATCTAGAAGTCTTTGAAGAAGATTTTAAGGTCTCCTAGAGAAGATCTAGGGAACATACGTTGTGATCATTAGTTATAGGGGTCATCTAATATAGATTTACTGATCTTCTGTAAGAATGTGTATATATGTTCTACGAGAAAATGTACGGAACTTCAGTTGGAAAAATGGCGATCATAAAAAGTTTTCTACGAACAGCCGGGTGATCTTCTTACGAAGTAGTTGCGGTCTTCCAAAAAGTGCGTTGCTATGAAGACCTCTTGGTTCTCATATAAATTTCTGGTAGACTTCCGCCGAAGATCGAGTGAATATCTCTTGGTTCTCATATGATATCCTGATGATCTGCTGCTTAACACCCAGTGTTCTTTCTATGAACAAATGATTGTTTTTTTCGGCAAAGAACTAGTATTCTTCACATGAATACATGGTGGTAATCCTCAGCACAAAATCTTCCTGAAGAACTTTTTAAGAGATCCTGATGGTCTTTCGAAAAAGTTCTGTTGATGTTATTTCGAAGACCTGCTTTTTTATCATCCATTAAAGATTTTTTGTGTCCTGTCATGGCCATGGTTTTGGAGTCCTCCTCAGCACAAAATCGTCATGAGGAACTTTTTAAGAGATCCTGATGGTCTTTCGAAAATGTTCTGTTGATGTTTTTGCAAGGACCTGATTTTTTATCATCCAAAAAAGATATTTTTGTGACCTATTATGGTCATGATTTTGAAGTACTTCTTACGAACCTATATTATGCTATGGTCAACCTCTTTCCCTTAACAGATGGTATGATTCATTGACGAAATAAATAGACCCACCTAAAAACGAAGGCAAACTATTTTTGACTGGTCTGGTCGTAACTGCATTGGCATTCATACAACCTACAAAAAGAAATCATTTTGGTTCCAAAATTTTGTCTAACTTGGCATAGCTCGAGTTTGCTCGTTTTCACTTGGGACCGACCCTTACTCGCGATGGGGGTGATCGAAGAGTGGGAGTTTTTTACGGAGTTCCTTCATCACTCTTTCTTGTAAGAGCAAGAGCGTGGTAGTAGAAACTCTCAAAATAGAGCAAGAGTTTGCTCTTAACTGGAAGAGTGAGATTCCCACTCTGAAACGAGCTGAAAATACTCGATTCTATTCGAGCGGCATCAAAAAATAGAGTATGCTCGATATTTGTTTCTACTCCCAGGCATGCTGCCACTCGAATTCGAGCGAGTTTTACTCTTTGCTCGAATTTGAGTGAGTTTTCGGAAATCTGAAAAGAATCGAAATTCTATTTTATGTCAGCTTTTGCTCTTAGGCTTTTTAAAGATTTTTTTACATTAGACATTTTGTTTTACTTGACTCCTAAAAGTAGGCAACAATTAAATAAATGTAAATAAATATTTCTTATATTAATTAAATTCAAATACATTTACTCTTATCATTCATGTTTTAAGTAATTTTTGTAGCTCATAGTTTTTTTTGATTTTGCCATAATATTTATAGCAAGTTCTCGAATTCAAACCATTCTTTTATATGGAAGCTATGTTCATAGGCAATATTTTTTGAAGGTCGAATATCTAAAATGAAAGGTCGGTTTTGAAACTTTAAACCCAAGCTAATGTTTAATTCGATATTTAAGCCTTTCCATGAAAAAGTCTATTAATTTCAATTGATTTTTGTGGAGCGCCTAAAGTATGCAACATAAATTTTGAAAAATACACATAACATACGTTCTTAAGATGATGTGTAAACTGGACTTAACCTTAAGTTAAGTCATGCAACTTATGAACAACAGTTTTAGAACCAATGATTTTTTTTTAATCAAACTCCGCCAAATTAGGTTTTATTCTTTTTCCCTATAACCTTAGTGGTGCGTCCTCATATATTTATTGGCTTCCCAAAAGTGGTTTATTTTAAAGCATTAATCGAAGTTACATTTTTATCTCTCTCAAGATTTGTTTTTAACATTTTTTTTCTAGAAATGTTTGTTATTTGCCAAACTGCCCCTAAAATTATGCTTCATTTCAAAGTCGATATAACTTGTTCAAAAGCCACATTCCTGCAGGAAATTAAAACGATACAAATTC